TGTGCTGACAGCATGGAGCCTGTTTGGGATTCTCTCCTTTTGTCTCTGCCCCTACACTGCTCACACACTCTCACTCTCATACACACACTCACTCTCTCTCTCTCAAATAGAGACCTAAAAATAAAATAAAAGGAAATATACTGAAGTTCTACCTTTCTAAACATCACCACCTTTATTAATATGGGAAATAAAAAACTTCATGCATGTCTAGAAAAGAAACAACATGGCCTACATCTTGAGAACTCAAAAAGCATGCTATGATTAAGTAATTCTCATTTGCTCTGGATCAAATGACCTGTTACCATCAGAGCAGTTTTTTTTTTTTTTTTGAAAGTTTTATTTATTTTTTATTTGTAATTCTGAAAATACATTACGAACATTAACTAAATGCATACCATGGACAAACAGCTAAATTCCTGAAGAGCCTTTTGAAAGGCATTTGGTGCTAAAACGTGAAAAACACATTTCATGTTATAGTTTATCACTTACTATAGTAAGTAGTTTCTTCTCACCACCAATAAAAGGAAAATCTACTCAAGCACCTAAAAAGAGTCTTGGGGCGCCCGGGTGACTCAGTCAGTTAAGCCTCATGACTTTTGATTTCAGCTCAGGTCATGATCTCAAGGTTTCTGGGTTTGAGCCCCGCATCAGGCTTTGCGCTGACAGCATGGAGCCTGCTTAGGATTCTGTTTCTCCCTCTCTCTCTGCCCTTCCCCAGCTCATGCACACTCTCTCTCCCTCTCAAAAATAAATAAACATTAAAAAAAAAAACGAGTCTTAAAATGAAAGAACAAGCACAAACACATCTCTCTGATCAACAAAATGGTATTTATTCAAATTCAAGATTTGGGGAGGATCTTTGAATCTAAGAGTTTTCTGTAAATTCATAGGAATTGGTCTGTAAAGAAAACAATGGATGGAAAGGGTAACTAGATAGATCAAAGGATCATCCTTCCCAAATGTATAACACTAGAATATGAATGGTTAGCATTCCATACTCTTGGAAAACTAAAATGGTAGAAAATAGCCAAGGTCACATCAGTGCATCACAAATGTGCCAGGCAGCTGACACTTCTGCTTCTATCCCAATCCACCTCTCCCATACTGCACACATCTTACCAATCACAAATGCAAAGTGATTAACAAGTTTTTCTTTCAAAATCAAGTATCAGGTGAATGAAGTCTACCATTCACAGGGATTACCAGAAATAAATCAACTTATTTTACAGAAAAGAAAACTGAGAACCAGTGATACGAAGTGACTTAATCCACACATTATGTCAGTTGGTGGCTGACCGAGTTTTTCGATCCTACCAAGCCATTGTCAAATGAAAGGCAATTTTAGAGGTTAGAGAAATAGAAGGATAATTTGGGAGAAAGAGTTTTCAGGGAAAAGTGGACCTGACAAAATGTCAAAATAGGAAACTTCTGTTAGCCAAGCCAGCCTGAGAATACTAGCATGTAGGACTCCTTGATAAGAGATAAACACAAGTGGGAAAGTGTCTAGAAGAAAAGATTCTCACCATGAAGAAAATGAACAGCCCCCAGAATGGGAAAACATTTTTGCAAATCATATATATGATAAGGGACTTACACCTAGAATATATAAAGAACCCTTACAACTCAATGGTGACAAAAACAAAGAAATCAATTTAAGGAATTTCAATAGACATATATATAGTAATATATATACTAATATATACTAATAGCCAACAAGTACACAAGTTTCCACATCACTACTCATTCATTAGAGAAATGCAAAGCAAAACCACAACGAGGTATCACTTCAAATCCACTTGACTGGTTACCAAAAAGACAGAAAACAAGTATTGGTGAGGTGGTGGGGAAAACGGAATCTGCAAGTAGTTTTGTAAAATGGTGCAGCGGCTTTGAAAAACAGTCTGGCAGTTCCTAAAAAGGCTAAACAGAGAGTTACCATACGACCTAGCAATTCCATTCCTAGGTATTTACCTAAAAGAAATGAGAGCATAAGTGTACACAAAAATTTGTACATGAACATTCATAGCAGAAATGGGAATTTTCCAAAAAGTAGAAACAACCTTAATGTCCATTAGCAGATTAAATAAAATGTGGCACATCCATACAATGGAATATTTTTAGGCTATAAACAAGAATGAAGTACTGATACAGGCTACAACACGGATGAACCTTGAAACATCATGCTAAATGTAAGAAGACAATCACAAAAGGCCACATATTGTATGCTTCCATTTATATGAAATGTCCAGAACATCAAAATCTATAAAGACAGAAAATAGGTTAATGTTTGCCTAGGGCTGGTGGGGATAGTGACAAGTGGGGTAGGGAATAAGGGAATAATTCCTGAAGAGTACAGGGCTTTTTTTTTTTTTTTTTTTTTTAAGCAGGTTCCATGCCCTGCAGGGAGCCCAACGTGAGGCTTGAACCCATGACCCTAAGATCAACACCTGAGCTCAGAATCAAGCGTCAGATGCTCAACTGACTGAGCCATCCAGGTGTCACCCTTTTCTTTAATTTTTCATTTGTTTTTACTTTTTAAGGGCCTTCTTTAGCGGTGATGAAAATGTTCTAAAATTGACCGCAGTAATACTTGCATAATTCAATGAATATACTAAAAACCATTGAATTGTACACTCTTTAAAAATCTTTAATATTTTTGGGGCGCCTGGGTGGCGCAGTCGGTTAAGCGTCCGACTTCAGCCAGGTCACGATCTCGCGGTCCGTGAGTTCGAGCCCCGCGTCAGGCTCTGGGCTGATGGCTCGGAGCCTGGAGCCTGTTTCCGATTCTGTGTCTCCCTCTCTCTCTACCCCTCCCCCGTTCATGCTCTGTCTCTCTCTGTCCCAAAAGTAAATAAAAAACGTTGAAAAAAAATCTTTAATATTTTTAAAACTTTTTATTTAATTTTTTTTATAATTTTTTTTCAACGTTTATTCATTTCTGTAAAACTTGTTAAAAATTTAAATTCCAGTTAGTGAACATACATACAGTGTAGTATTAGTTTTTACAAAAGAAAAAGAAACAGAAAAGTTCCCCGACCAGGTATTGTCCATTAATAACTAGTAGGAAATTTAGGAGTAGCTGACAGGTGCCCCGGTTAAATTACTAAAATGGCATTGTCTGGTCATAGAGTCAGGCTCTGGATGCTATGATAAAAGTCTGGAGATTTGGCATGGGTGGCAGTGGACACCAAATGACACAAAGGATGGTCTGTGCCCTAATTATGTGAATGATTTGGGACACCAGGGTGGCTCAGTCAATTAAGCCTCTGAATCTTGGTTTCAGCTCAGGTTATGATCTCAAGGTTTTATGAGTTGGAACCTAGCATACACTGGCAGCCAAGAGCCTGCGTGGGATTCTCTCTCTGCTCCTCCCCCACCCGCACTCTCTCTCTCTTGCTCTCAAAATAAACAAACTTTAAAAAATGGTTTAACAAAATGAACAAACAAAAAGAACGTACCTAATGTCAGATAGCTGAATACAAGAGAAATGATTGGTAAAGAGCAAATAATCAATTCACAGGTCTGATAGATAACCTCTGTTGTAGATTTCGTTGAAGTAAACACTGGTCCTTGACAGAGTTTGGAAAAAAGGCAGATTAGGGGTGAAAGAGTTATTCATGTTCAGGGGGACGTAAGTTGACCAGGCCGGGGCAAAAGTGGTCTAGCTGGACATAAGGAAAGAGTACAGGGCTATCTAAGGGATGCAGTTTGTAAACTGTATTGGTGAAACAAGGACATCACTCAATCAAAACCCAAAGGACCGTTTTCCATCTGACCAGTGTCTCTTAGAGACAAAACGCTGTAACTCAACAGGCTAAAGCAGTTTTCTGAAAAAACTTAAAGTCACATTGGATTGATTCCTCTAGGCACGGAGTTCATCTTCCGTCTAAAAAGTGCAGTAATAGCATTTGAAGGTTTTATAGCGAAGAACAAGAAATGTGCGGCAACTGAAACTGCAAGAACGTGACTCTGCATAGTCCTGGAAATTAAGGTGACCAAGAAATCCCCAGGTGGATGTCGGGGTTCGAACGTACCTCGAGTCACCCGAGGGCAGAGGCGGTGCGAAGGCATCCCGGGGACTGCATTTTTGCAGGTAAACCCGGGTTGCGCGATCCTGCCCAGAGGCTGCCGGCGACCCGAACGCGAAGGCATAGAAGCTGTAGCGGCCAGGCAACCAGCTCCCCGAGGTCACGCCTGAGCCAGCTCCGCGTTTCCATGGCTAACGTCAACTCCAACGGGTGCCACCGCCACCGCCGCGGAACCGAGATCGCGCTCGGAGGCGGTTCGGGCCCCCAGCTCGCCCCGCCCCCGGCTCGTGCTCGCTTCGGGGCGCTTACCCCACCGCCGGCCGAGTGAGGCGGAGCTGGGGAAGAGGGGCGCTTTGTTCACTCCAGGCCTGGGCCCACGCTCCCCTCACCCGGGGCCGTGGGAGACACCGGGACTCTGGCCTCGCCTTGCGCCCACAAGCATCCACAAAGGCACAGGGGCGGGGGTCTCCGGTCCAGCCCTGAACTTTCACCCGGGCCGCGCCCCGACGCAAAAGCGCCGTTTCCCTGGTGACGTGACGTGCCCGAGGGAGGGAGTAATGCTTTCTGGCCGATTGACGTGCGGCAGCCATTTCGCGAGCGTTGGTTTACCGGTGGTCTGACCGCCGATTCTGGAGTGTACGGTGACTCCACCGCTCGGTGTTTTGCGCTTGTGTTAACCACATCGGCACTTTGGCCATCGCCACTTGGCACACGGACGGTAATAAATGTTTTTAGTGATACTTCATACGCCCTCTTCAGCTTGGAAGATTTGGAACTGGCTATACGTCCTAGCTATTGCCCTTTTATGGCATACTTTTTCTCCCCGAGTGGATTTGTGGCTGCATTTTTAAATGCGAGGAACCAAAATGCCCATCATTGAATCATGCTACGAGGAAGGTATCTGTTAATAAAATGAGGCAAAGTCCCCTATCCTAATTGCGGGCGGGGGGGGGGGGGGGGGGAAAGCCCTGGCCCACTGTTACTACTTAGTGGCAATGTAAGATACGGGAATCTTTGGAAGGTAGCCACAAACTCCTAGTTTTGCCGGTTTAAAGTTACATGCCCCGCGCCCACCGCCTCCATTTTCCAAGAAGTTTGATTTCTTACTCATCTTCTGGACACCTTCTGGATTGCTTGTTGGAAGTCTACAAGGTGGCCCCTTAGAGCATTACATTGGAAATTGGTCTCAAATGATTTAGAGGCTCTTTAAGGAAACTCCGAAGCCAATTTGTCAGTATTAAGGTACTTCTGTTTCCTGTGTGATTGACACTAGCAATTCTGCATACTCGGGACTTCTAAGTGCTCAAGGACTGTCTTGTTTGGATCTCTTTACCTCAAAACTATAAATGCGGCCCTTTTTTTGTTTTCTGGTTTCACTGGAAATGGTGGCTTAGTTCTCAAGCATCTAGGTTTTCAAGCTGTAAGGAAATTTTTGTGTGTTAATATGAAAAGAAAACCAAGGATTACTCTATTCAGAGGGAAAGTGTAGTTTATTGTAGTTTATTGTGGGAAGAAAACCCTGTGCAGTTTCAATAACGTACGTATACTTGACACAGTTAGCAGGTAGAACCTTTCATAGTTCAGTGTGAGGGGGAGAGGTACTCTTGGTCCATCCCTAATGTTTCCCTCACTTTCAGGGAAGACATACTAGCCTTAGTCATCATGGGTCAGGATACCACCTGACATCTGCAGTTGCTAGAAGTCAGCGTAGTGTGATGAGCGGTACAGGCTCTGGAATTAGGAAGTCCCAAATTGTTGGAATCTTGACATCGCAGCTCCCTACTTGCGTGATCTAGGGGTTACCTAATCTTCCTGGTGCTCAGTTTTCAAATCGTGTAAAATAAGAGAGAGAAAATTGATCGCACAGGGAGTTGTGTAGATTGGATTAAATAACCAAATCGCTCAGTTAGGCACAGTTTAAGTGCTTAGTGAGAACGAGCTGTTGTCTTTATGAGGAGAGGCTGCATTTTTGCCACCTTCAATTACATAGAATTCGATCAGAATATTTTTGTTGTTGTGATACCTGCTGTAGATATTTGGTTGTTAATTTTTTCTTTTTTCCAATGTGTTGGTTACTTTGCCCTTAGAATAAAATTGGTAAAGCTTATGGTACAAGGCCTTTGGTTACTAGTGTAGAAAAAGTAGTCGTTCAACATTTACTGAAGTAGTGGATGTTGTTTGCCAGGAATCACACCTATTGCTGCAGATTCAAAGTCAAATAACACATGGATTCTATCCTCAAGGAATTTACTAAAATATAATGAGAGACTAACAAGGACATCAGTAATACTGAGTGTGTGATAAACAAATAGGCACTGGGGCCATAAAATAAGTACAAGTTAGCTGGATAAAGATCTGGGAAAGGAGGTATTTCAGGCAGGAGAGCACCATTCATTCAATTCACAAATATTTAGAGCATAAGTCAGGTACCTATGGACCCTATTTAATGTTAACCGTATGAAATAGCTTATTATTCTCATTTCAAATATAAGGAACTGAGTTGCAGAAAAGTAAAATAAATGAGATTTAGAATTGAGCGTTTATCTGTATGTCTTCAAGATCCTTTTTTGTTTTGTTTTGTTTTGTTTAAACAAAAAATCCGTGTTTTTGTTTTGTTTTTTTCTGTTAACCCTGCTGATTGATATACAAGGAAACATTACCAAAAATCTGGACCTGCTTCTTCAGCCAGAGAAAATGTTTACCCAGTCATTATCACGGCATACCTGTTTTTGTGTAATGGTAATGCTCATTTTCAAGTTACTCCTCTTGCCATAACGTAAAACAGACAAACCTAAAATCATAAAAGCCTCACTCTGCCCCATTGCTCACAGGTCATGGACCAGAGGACTCTGAAAATAATGCAGAGCTGCAGCAACACAGGGTAAGAGGATTTAAAGTGGAGAAGTGGCTGCAGAGAATTTGAAAGTTGAGCTTCCAGGGCAAGGCAGTAGAACAGCTAAGATTTGGTAAAGGATTGGATCAGGGTGGGGATGGTTGGGGGAGTTAAGGAGACCAAAGAAAAAAGATGAGCCTAACCTTCAAGCTGTGTGACCACAAAGTTTGAGGAACCCTAAAGTAAGCATAAGAGGAATAGGTTTGAGGGTGAAAGAAAGATAATCCACCTTGAGGCGTTACGTGTTTTAGGGACTTGGGGGATATTTCCAGCTGCAAATATAGGATTGGACCTTGGGAAACAGGTCAAGACATAGAAATTTAGGAGTATTCTACATAAAGAAAGTTATTTGAGGGGTGCCTGGGTGACTCGGTTGAGCATCTGATTCTTGATCTCAGCTGGGGTCTTGATCTCAGGGTCCTGAGTTTAAGCCCTGTGTGAGGCTCTGCAGTGGGTGTGAAGCATATTAAAAAAAAAAAAAAGTTATTTGGAATCATGAGATTTGAAAGAGAATGCCAAGGTTTGGGTATTACTGAACGTGAGTAAAACCATCAGGACAGAAAAAAAAGGGACTATAAAATGAGATCTATTTCTTACATGGCTCATTTCATCTAATTTCTTTATGTCACAAAACATATGCATCTCAATGTGTATGAAGACCATGTGAATGGGCATGTGGTGGGTAGCAATTTTAGTATGTTTACAGGCATATGGGTTGGGTGACGTTGAGTTATGAGGCTATTACAGATAAGGAGTAGGGTATTATGGTAAGTGAAATAAGTCAGAAAGAAAAATACCACATTCTTCCACTTATATGTGAAATCTAAAAAAAAAACAAAAAGCGGAAACAGACTGATAAATACAGAGAACAAATTGATGGTTGCCAGAGTGGGTGGGGATAGTGGCATGGATAAAATGGGTGAACGAGAGAGATTCAGGCTTCCATTTATGGAATGAATACGTGGCAGGGATGAAAAGCACAGCATAGGGAATATAGTTAATGGTATTGTAATAGGGTAGTATGGTGACAGATGGTAGCTGCACTTGCAGTTGGCATCGTCCAAGCCTCTGTGTTGTACACCTGAAACTAATGTAACATTGTATATCAACTATACTTCAATAAAATTAATTAAAGACAAGGAGTGACTAATTGTTAACTTTAAAGTTTAATACTGAAACTTCCTTTAATATAGAAAAAAATTTCATACTAGGTAAACATTCATAATTAGGACCATAAAATAAATAATGTATACTGTAATCATAGCTTTGCCATTAATTGGTTTTAAACTTTGTTGGAAATTACAATATATTCTAAATGATAATTCTGAAAAATGTATATTAATTTCTGATGAGTGTACAGTGGGAAGGATAGAATTTCTCAGATTATGGTTTTAAGAATTTTTAAGGGGGGCCTGGGTGGTTCAGTCGGTTAAATGTCTGACTTTTGATTTTGGCTCAGGTCATGATCTCATAGTCCTGAGATTAAGCCCTGCTTTGGACTCCATGCTCAGCATGGAGCCTGCTTAAGATTCTCTCCCCACCCCCCCCCCCCCCCCCCTTGCTCCCTCTCCCTCTCTCCCTCAAAAAAAAAAAAAAAAAGAATTTTTAATTTTTCGTATAGTTCTTAAATTTCATTATTATTTCATATCACTAATTTCACAGATTAAAATTTTAATTTCAGGAGTGTTCAAATTAATATTACTTGAGAAAGTTGTCACCAATGGAAACTTCTTTTAGGTATTTGTTTGAAAAGAGCACAGTAGAATTTTTGGTAGACTGAAAATCACTAAATTGGAATATTTAAAAGGCTAGAGTTTCAGTTTTTAATTACGTTAAATTTCATAAGAGTTTGTGAATATAGCTATCACTGAAAGATCAAACTCTATGTAAATATCCATATGCGCATTCATTTGACTCTTTACTAAAAATTAAGGTACACATAGATCTCAATTACTTACAATGATTTCCCTTTATATTTTGGTACACATAAATAAGAGCTGACTGTGCAGATTTCATAGTGTTTATTCCCAGTGTCCTACACTAAGATTGGAACATAAATTAACCTCTTCTATTGACACTGTTATCAAGGATATGTCTTAATACTCATTTCGAAAGCTAAAGCTGAAGTTTTTAGATGTCCTTTTCCTGGCATTTGCCTGCTAACTCATTTATTTGTAAATGTACCAACTGTTTAGGATCATGTGAACATTATCTTCACTTTCCTGTAGAATGAACATATAAGGAAGTGCAATGAACAAGTTGCCTTATAAAATTTTGGTTGAAATTGTAATTGAATGTGTGTGGAGTGGGGTGGAAAGGGAGTTAGTATAATTCATCTGAAGGTAGAGGAAAGTTTATATGCCTTCTCACAATCTTTCCAGACTCATGATGATATTATTGCTATTGAATGGAAAAGTCCACACGGGTTAGAGTTACTTCCTACAGCTTAAATTGTGATGCCCTCTTTAGGTTAATATATTTAAAAATATGAAAACTAGAGGTTACTCACAGATAAATATTTATAGGAAATGAAACCACAGTTTGGAAAAAAACACAACACCATACATACATAAAAAACACACGAACAAAAAAAAATAAAAACCTTGTACATAAACTGTAAGTATCAACGACAAAATGTATACATAAAATATAAATAACAACAACAACAATAACCAGTTTTGGTGGGATAGTAGATTGGAGATACACTTTGAAATTTTGCTTGGCTCTGCAGTTGCCTTTAACAGAAATTTCATGGGGCGCCTGGGTGGCGCAGTCGGTTAAGCGTCCGACTTCAGCCAGGTCACGATCTCACGGTCCGTGAGTTCGAGCCCCGCGTCAGGCTCTGGGCTGATGGCTCAGAGCCTGGAGCCTGTTTCCGATTCTGTGTCTCCCTCTCTCTCTGCCCCTCCCCCGTTCATGCTCTGTCTCTCTCTGTCCCAAAAATAAATAAAAACGTTGAAAAAAAATTTTTAACAGAAATTTCATGTCTAGAAATATACTTAACAGTTATCCCACCTTTACAGATTTCTCACCTAAGTGTGCAGCAATATTTGTACAAAGATGTACTTAGAACGTTTGTAATAGCAAAATACAAAACAGTCTTCAATAGGGAACAGGTTAAATAAATTAGGTTAAAAAGGAGGTATATCTACATGTATTGCTATGCAGACATGTCTAACTTAAGTAAAACATTTAAAAATTATAGTTTGTATAATTCAAAAATTATAGTATGATCTTACGTTAAACCTAGATGTATGCATGAGCATGCTTTGTATGTGTATTTTTGAAGGCTACCTGAGGAACTATGATAGAAGTTAAGGTTAATTTGGGGTTTGATGGGAAGGGGAACTTTTTATATTACTCTTTTGTGCTGTTAATATATTTTCAACAATACATATTGTTTTTTTATAATACTTAAATATAAAATTATGTACAAAATTAAATTGACAGTAAAAAAATATCTCTATACCCCCCCCCCCAGAAAAAAACCCACCAAGCTACCATATAACAAGAAAAGTGGCATAGTGGGTTTTTGTTTTTATACTAGTTCCTTTATCTAGAAACTAATTGGAATATGTAGTTACTAGTTTCTATGCGTAAGTGGTTACAGTATTGATGCTTTCACAGGGAGAGAAATGTTACATTATTTTTAAATGTTATATTTCAGTTGAAAATTACAATAAGTTATTTGGCATATCGGTAAATTTTGAGCTCTGGTAATCAGAGACTGCTTAGAATCTGGACCACTTCAGTGATATATCTGTAGGAATCCTTTACGTGAGTTTATTTTATAGTAAATTAGAGCCTTTGCTGAATTTATATATACATTATCAAGATTATTAGAATTTCTTTGTAATGTTGCATATAAAATTTTAATTTTTAGTATATGTGTAAAGTATACATGTATTTTTACAGATATGTGTATATGTAAAATACTTGCATCTATACAAAGTGTATGTTATATATAATATGTAAAATAAAATATATGGGAATCTTATTTTATTGAACTGGCAATAACTAAATGTTAATGGAAGAAATTTTCATATCTGGCTCATCTTTAACAATATAATTTTAAAGTATAGCAGTTTTTTTTGTTTTTTTTTTTTTTTCAACGTTTATTTATTTTTGCGACAGAGAGAGACAGAGCATGAATGGGGCAGGGGCAGAGAGAGAGAGGGAGACACAGAATCGGAAACAGGCTCCAGGCTCTGAGCCATCAGCCCAGAGCCTGACGCGGGGCTCGAACTCCCTGACCGCGAGATCGTGACCTCGTTGAAGTCGGACGCTTAACCGACTGTGCCACTCAGGCGCCCCAAAGTATAGCAGTTTTTAATAAAACTTATGCCAGTAATTAATTTTTTTTTTACCAGAGCTGCTTTTTATGCTTTTAGTCTCAATGAAAACCAATGTACAGAAACAAATGCTAGAATAATTATCAGTCTTCAAAGTTAAAATTCTGTTACATATGAACTTCAAGCCAAATATTGGATTCACATTTTTACGTAGAAATTTTCCTCCTAAAATACTTTGTAATTGGTGGAAAATGTAACCAGAAAGAGCAGCATGCAAGAAAGAGATGCATTAACTTGTGGAAGCAACCGTGTATTAAGAAACAAACAGGAGAGATGGGTTGGGGATGGGTTAAATAGGTGATGGGGATTAAGGAGGGCACTTGTGATGAGTACTGAATGTGTTAAGTGTTGAATCACTAAATTGTACACCTGAAATGAATGTTACACTGTATGTTAACTGGTATTAATAAAAACTTAAAGAAACTATGGATCATTTTTATTTGTGGTTTTTATATAAAACTAGCCTATGGATTTTTTTCCCTGTAAGTCGTTTCCCTTGTAACTTTTTCTCTTGGCAAAAATAATGAATAAAATTTTAGAGACAAGCTTTTTTTTTAAGGGCACATATCACCTAACACATGTAATAAAACCAAAAAAAAAACTCATGTTCTATGTTGAAAAAATCAAATGAAAATATTTTTATTCTGAATTGCTCAATTAGCTTAGAGGCATACACTTTTAATTGCACAATTCAGTCAGTATCCCTGTGCAACTTGTTCTTCTATCATTTGCACGCCTAAATATACTCTGGTCTAGAACACTGGACCGTGAAATCCTAAAAGTTACACTTACTCTATGAAAAGACTTCTTTTTAAATCTGTGTCTCTTTTCCCCAACATTTTCTTTAAAAATATACATCCTAAACATATGTACCTGAATGTGATGTGGAATCCTTTTTATCCTTTTTCTTCCGGAGCACATAGTGAATATTTGCCTCATGAGAAAGTGAACAAGGAGAGCCCTAAGCTAATTTCCTTTCCTTTTGATTATAGCACAAATATCCCATCCATTACTATCTCCTCTCAAAATGACTCATTCTGTTCAGAGACAAAAGCAATGCTACCTGAGAACATTCTGAAATATTTTGTCCTCTTTTCATAATCCCTATTTACTAGCCTCTGCAAATATTTTCTTCACCTCCTTACCAAATTTTAACTCAATAAGTGATATCTTCCTTCTTGGATGAATGGACATGGGAACTTCAGATTACAGTAGTGGAAATTTAAAAAAACAGTGCTTTTTAGTGTGAAGGAAATTCATGCAAATTTTTAATGTATATAAGTTTTCTAAGTAACCACACATTAAGTATGAGAATGGACTTTATTATTAAGCAGGACTTAACATGATTATCATTGGAAAACTAAATTCTGCTGACTTTAGTATTGACCACTTTTCCTGGGACAGTGATTTACGTCAGTGTTAACATTAGGTAATTTGTCACTTTAATCAGAATTCATTAACAATTTACTTTTTGAGGGCTCTGTCTCTAAGGTCAATTAAATAAAAATGTTAAAGCCAGTGTTGTTAAGATTTCTGCTACCTAATAGTCACGTTATTTTATGTTCAGCCTCTTTGATTAAAAGTAATGGTCAAAGATGTTAAAGCCCTGGAAGGTGATTTTGAAGATGGAGAAGTGCTGGAGCTACCCAGACAGCAATCAGAAACAATTAGGAAAAATGTACCAAATGCTTCATTCTTTCTCTAGGCTGCATGACAAATTACATTTAATATTTCAGGCTTGTTGCATTTTAAAATAAGGCCTCCAACACGAAGCAATTTTCAAGACAACTCCAATCAAAAGATACTGCTTAAAATTTTCCTATTGCCATAGAAATGAAAAGAGTGATTGTCTATGTTGATTAACTTGAAGATTGCTTTGGGAAGAATTTGACAGTTTTGTAACATTCCCATTATAATTTACAACCCGTGAAGAATTGAATACTACACTGAATATCAGGATACTTTGTCTTCCTTTTATCTGATAATTTTATTCTAGTACTTTAACATGAAGAGGATGTCCTTTTAATGTGTATTTTAATGCATATATAATTTACATTTACCATGTTCCTTAAAATCCTCAATTAGATTAAACAAAATAAATGTATAGCATAATACATATATTTATATACAAAAAATATTTATTGATTCCTACTGTGCAAAATTTTATACAAAGATGGAAAGGAAACATTTAATGTCGAAGAACCCATGGTTTAATGGATAGAAATTCACAAGAAAAATGAACAAAGTAAGATAAAACTTAGAGTCAATTACATTTTGGTTTGGAGTTGAGGATGGCTGATACTATTTTGTTTGCTGATCCATAAATGCTAAGTAAAGGTTTAATCTACCCAATACTACAAAAGATGGCAAGTTAGGAAAGTGATCCCACAATACTATTTTATGTTTAGAATGAAAGATTATAATTGAGTGAAATTACATTACACTTGGCAATGGATAGGAAAATGTTTAAATACCAAGAAAGACCTTTATGCTGGCATGATTCATTTTTTATGAACCTTCCGATTTGCAAGCCAAATTTTTCATTGCTTTAAAATAGTTTAACCCCATCTAAAATGCACTGTCTGTCATAAATTAGCAACCAAATAAGATTGGGTAATGGTGAAGATTCAGTTAAATGCCATTCTTATTTATTCATTCACGAATTCAATTGGTAAACACGTATTGTGTGTTTACTAGGTGATAGCTTGTTAGAGAATTAGAGATGCATGGAAAGATAACTACCTCCTGTCAAGGGTCATTCTGGTGAGATAGGGTAATAGAAACCGTTATGACCCCTTTGGAAATAAATGTAGTAATATTTGTCAACAACTCTATAAAAACATGTAAACTTTTTAACTGATTAATACCTTCCTACAGAAAGTATTCCTCAGAAGAAAAAGGACTTATGAACATATGTTGTTTATTGCATACTTTTAATGACATAAAATTGGAAGCAACTTGAATGTTCAAATGTCTAATGATTAAGAAAAAAATAGTATTTTCCCTTTGGTTGAATATAATACAGACATTAAAATGATATTTTTGGGCTTTGTAATATGGAAAGTGCTCAAGATGTAGAATGCAGAAAAAATCAAAAATTGTATAAAGTATTACAGTTCTGTGAGATATACAAATGAGAAGACTTAGATTTTAGAAAATGATAGCTGTATCAGCATGGTTAGATGATCGTTTCAATGTTTTTGAAACATATTTAAAAATAATAAAACATTTCAATGTATAGAAGTAGTTCTCAATTGGAACCCTTGTGCATTATTTGTAGGAATATAAAATGGTGCAGCTGTTGTGGAAAATGGTATGGCGGTTACTCAAAAAATTAAACATAGAATTACCATAAAATCCAGAAATTCTACTTCTGGGTATATTCCCCATGATGTGAAAGCAGGGATTGAAGAGATACTTGTACACTGATTTTCATAGCAGCATTATTTACAATAGCAGCATTATTCCATTAAAGGTGGCAGCAAACCAAGTGTCCATTGATGGATGAATGGATAAGCAAAATGTGGTATGTACATACAATGGAATATTACTCAGCCTTGGGAGGAAATTCTGATACATGCTACAACATGGGTGGACTTTGAAGACAATGCTAAGTGAAATAAACCAGTCACAAAAAGACAGATACTGTATGGTTCTATCTATAGGAGAGTAATCAAATTCATAGAGACAGAAAGTAAAGTGGCTGTTGCCAGGCTGTTGGCTTAGAAAAGGAGGAATGGGGAAGTTATTGTTTAATGGGTACAGAGTATCAGTTTTGGAAGGTGAAAAGAGATCTGGAGATAGTGGTGATAGTTACACAATACTGTGAATATTCTTAATGCCATTGATCTGTACAATTAAAAATGGTTCATATGGTAAATTTTATGTGTATTTCACCACAATTCAAAAAAATAAAAGATTAAGATGGTAAATTTTATGTTCTGTATATTTTATTACATAATAAAAAAATTTTAAGTGGTTGCAGCTATGGATTGATTACTAGCTATACATCAAAAGTTGAAAGAAGAGTGAGTCAATAGATTTAAAAGTACACTACAGCGAAAAAATGAAATACATAAGGCAATCGGAAAAAGAATTTTAAGATGAGTATCCTCAAATTATATGGCGTTATGCTCAAATGTATGATTTGAAATTTATTCTACTTTTCATGCTGTTCTAAGCTCATATATGTTGGCAGTAGCAAAAAAATGTAACTGTCAGACTGAAATGAACTCTTAATGTTCAATCACAGTTTTAGAGATGCTGTGTTAGAGGTGAGAAACCAGAGTTTCCAGAGAAGTTAGGATTTTATAGATATATAATGATAAATCTGACAATGGATCCTTTGACTTTTATTATGACATTATTTAAGCTTTATACCACCTGATGCAGGCCAGATTCTAATTTTTAAAATAATTAACCTTATTAAAAGAATTAACCTTATGAAACATTTATTTCCTATTTTTTTAAATTTTTAAAAAATATTTATTCAGTTTTGAGAGACAGAGACAGAGCGCAAGTGAGGGTGGTGCAGAGAGAGAGGGAAACACAGAATCCGAAGCAGGCTCCAGGCTCTGAGCTGTCAGCACAGAGCCTGACATGGGGCTCAAACTCACAAACCGTGAGATCATGACCTGAGCCGAAGTCAGACACTTAACCAACTGAGCCACCCAGGCACCCCTCTTACTTCTTTCCTATTAAATTCTTGTATCAAACATGGATTTGATGGTATGACTTTAATCTAGGATTTTTACTCCTGCTTTTGACTTTCTCAAGCAATTAACTTAACAGCTTTTCTTTCCCCAGGCCATAGTTCCTTTGATTCTAAGAGGAGTTGCATTTTATTTACTTTTAAAACTAATCTGTTTTATGAATTGATGACCCAATATCCTTCCTACTCCTGCTGTGGGAAGTGGGGATACTGTATTTCTTCATTACTCTTTGTTAGAACTCAAAACAGAAAGTATATTTCTTCTAGATCTTAGGCATTGCACTATGTCAGAATACTTTGGGTTGCAAGTGACAGAACTTGAACTCTCCAAAAGATGTATTAGCTCACATAACTGAGAAGTTCAAGAGTAGATCTTAAGACTGCATTAAAAAAAAAAAAGCACCCAGAGGCTCAAAGACCACTATTAGGACTTTCTCCACTCTTGGTTTGCATTGCTTTATTCTTCAAAGAGATTCTTTCCTAGTGGCAGGAGGCAAATGCCTTCAGAGGCTTCATACTCACACATCCTTCCAGTTAAGAAGAACAAACTGAGGGTTTATGGGGGGTGGGAGGGAGGGGTGGGTGGGTGATGGGTATTGAGGGCACCTGTTGGGATGAGCACTGGGTGTTGTATGGAAACCAATTTGACAATAAATTTCATAAAAAAAAAAAAAAAAAAAAGAATTGCAGTTGAAGAAAGAAATCACTCCGCCAATGTCCATGTCTCAACTTCAGGTCCTGTGTGCCTACCCCTGTCATCGGCAGCCCCCACACTAACACAGAGTTGAGGAAGAGTTTCCCAAAGGAATCTGAAGAAAGAAGGTAGGAAATTACCTACCTTACAAAATAACAAACTCCCATAGTTTACCCACCTTCTAGTGAAGCCACTTTAAAAAAAAAATTTTTTTTTTCAACGTTTATTTATTTTTGGGACAGAGAGAGACAGAGCATGAACGGGGGAGGGGCAGAGAGAGAGGGAGACACAGAATCGGAAACAGGCTCCAGGCTCTGAGCCATCAGCCCAGAGCCTGACGCGGGGCTCGAACTCACGGACCGCGAGATCGTGACCTGGCTGAAGTCGGACGCTTAACCGACTGCGCCACCCAGGCGCCCCTGAAGCCACTTTTTAAAAACTTCTAGATAAACATCAATATTTCTGTTCAACTCCATTAACATAGTTTAGGGGTGCCTGGGTGGCTTGGGTTAAGCATCTGGTTCTTGATTGTGGCTCAAGTCATGATCTCATGGTTGTGAGATCACTGCGTTGGGCTCCAAGCTGAGTGTGGAGCCTGCTTGGGATTCTCTCTCCCTCCCTTCTCTCTCTGCCCCTTTCCTACTCATGCTGTCGCTTCCTCAAAATAAATAAAATACAATACAAAAACATAAAATAGTTTAAATCATTTCATGTACTGCATATTTGTCATCTTTCAGCTGCCCACTCTGTTTTATTTTTGAGAATGCGAGAGTGAGAGTGGAGGAGGGGCAAAGAGAAAGAGAGAGAGAGAAAAAAAGAGAGTGAGAGAGAAGGAATCTTAAACAGTCTCCATAGCCAGCCAAAGCCTAAACACAGGGCTCAGTCTCACGACCAAGTGTCAGAAGCTTAACCAACTGAGCTGCCCAACATTCGAACCCTTTTCTTTTGTTTGCCACTGTGGAAGCATCAGTGGGCAGGCCACAACTCTCACAGAAAGGTGAAAAATACCAATGCTTATTTTAAACTCTCCTAATTAAGGTTTTGGCAGGCAGTGTAAGTTTGGCCATCTTCCTGGGGCTTTCAATGTAATCATGGGCAGTGAAGCAGTAGGAATAGTTAGAATCCATTCTAATGGCAGCAGGAACATCCAAGGCCCAGTAACACCCAGGTAGCAGCAGGGCATTGGTACCCTAATTTATTCCAGTGTCATGACAACACCTGTGATTTTAACCACTCAGCTCTCCATGGAGCTCATTCTGTGAGCCTGGATTTCTAGTCTTCCTATTGATTGTGTGAGCTGTTCACATGGGTGAAAACCGTTAACTAATCTACAGACGTTATCAGATTTCACTAGTTTTCCCACTCATGTACTTTTCCTGGTCGAAGATCCAATTCAGAATCCCCATATTACACTTAGTTGTCATGTCTCCTTAGATTTCTCCAATCTATGGCAATTTCTCAGTTTTCATTATTCAATGCCCTTGACCTTTTTATTTGTATTTTTTTTAAGTTTATTTATTTTGAGAGAGACAGCATGAGAAGGGGAGGGCGAGGGAGAGAGGGAGAGAGAGAATTCCAGGCAGGTTCTGCATTGTCAGTTTGGAGCCAGAAGTGGGGCTTGAACCCATGAACCGTGAGATCATGACCTGAGCTGAAATTGAGAACTGGATGCTTAACCCACTAAGCCACCCAGGTGCCCCTCAATGCCCTGACCTTTTTAAAAAGTCATTGGCCTGTTACATGTAGAATGTCCCTTAGTTTCAGTTTTTCTGGTATTTTCTCATGATCAGATTATGTATTTTTGGTGAGATTATCACAGAACTGATGTGCTCTTATTAGTGCATTACATCAGGGTATTGATATATTTTATTGGTGACATTAAATTTGATCACTTAAAGTGGTGTTTACCAGGTTTTTCTACTGCAAAGTTACAATCGTTCTATTTGTGGTTAAAAAGTATCTTGTGGGGCAATTCTTAGAGGCCATTCTAATATGCTGCTTATATGCTGCTTATACTGACATCTGTTAATTTTATCCGGAGATGGAATTATCTAGTATTCTTTACATGTTCCAGTGTGTTTTTTCCACACCCCCAAGCAATTCTCCCAATTCTCAGTAAACCAACTAGGTGTTTCACAAATTTAACTCAGTTTTGACACCTTCTCTCTGGAGATAGCTTCAGATCCCACAGGTTGAGAGCTCAATCTCAGAAGACTGGCCCTATTTCAGACACCAACCTGAAGTTCAGGTTGTTACCTGTGCTTTTGACTCTTTGGCTATAAATTGGAGGTTCCCACAACCCACTCCTCAGATTTGACTAATTTGCTCAGGTAGCTCACAGAACTCAGAGGAACATTTACTTGCATTTACCAGCTTCTTATAAAAGATATTATGAAGATAGAGATGAAGAAGAGGTACACAAAGCAAGGTCCAAAAGTGTCCCTAGTGTAGGAGCTTCTGTCCCTGTGGAACTGGGTGTGCCAACCATCCTGCCATGTGGGTTTAACAACCTCAAAGCTCATCAAGCCCTCACTGAAGAGTTGTTCTAGATCTCTACTCTCCAGCTTTCACCCTGCTTCCCCTTCCCAGAGGTTGTAAGTGGGGTTGAAAGTCCCAACCCTCTAATCACTTGGTCTTTCTGATGACCAGTTCCATCCAGATGCTCTCTAGGAGCCCCACCCTGGGTCACCTCATTAGCATAAACTCGGATGTGCTCTAAAGGGGTTCCTTACGAATGACAAAAGATACTCATATCACTCAGGAAATTCCAAGAGTTTTTGGAGCTTTGTGTCAGAAACCAGGGAGAAAGATCGAATATATTTCTTCTTATACCACAGTTTATTGAGTGCAGGAGACAATTATGTACTCTGATTAGAAACAAAGATTTTGTAAAGGTGAACCTGATTAGAAATTCTTTTTATCAGTAAGTTAAAGATATGGCTGAGATGTTTGCAAAAGTCACAGGAAAAATTGTGTGCAAATGTTAAATTATTTGTGGCATTTTCTACTGCTGCTGAGAAGAGCATAGATGTACAATCCAGTTATCTCTATTTGTGGGGTCAGTATGATTCTTGATGGGAGCAAGGAACTTCTGTGTTGACTCTTACTTCTAATCCCACTTTTTTGTTTGTGCAGAGTAAACCTGGGCCCACAGCAAAGGATGGGGAAAGCTGTGTAAACAAGGAACTACAATTCCGTCAATCCCCAGCCATCTTACACTTGACAGGAAGATAATAAGCAACTACATTTTCTCCATGCAAAAACCCTTCCAGGTTGTGAGTGCCATAAATATAATGGGTAAGTTAGTATGGATACATAGCACTTAATTACCTTATCTGATTAAAAAGAGTACAAACCACTCTCAAACAACATCCCTAGACGTTTTCCCAAGGTAGAGCTAGCCAGACGGTGAGTTACTTTGCCTGTGATTGTCATGTACTTCATGTGCATGAGTTTGGTGTTTTGTTTTTGTTTTCATTATAATACCACTTTCATTGGTGAGGTTCCCATTGCCAGGACAACTAAGAGCAGTCATGAGGTTAATCTTTACCAAAACCATAATCCTTGGCAGGTAGTATTCTTAATTTTCTTACTCCTTGGGTTGAAAAAATGCAAAACACTCTTTACTTCTCTTGGATCTCCTATTTTGTCTAACTTTCCTCAAAAGTTTCTATGTATATACTTCTTGAATTTACTAATCAAACTCATTTTATTGCTACTAACTTTGATAAAAAACAATCTTTAATACACTACATACCCTTAGGGCGCCTGGGTGGCTCAGTCGGTTAGGCGGCTGACTTCGGCTCAGGTCATGATCTCGCGGTCCGTGAGTTCGAGCCCCGCGTCGGGCTCTGTGCTGACAGCTCAGAGCCTGGAGCCTGTTTCAGATTCTGTGTCTCCCTCTCTCTTACCCTCCCCCGTTCATTCTCTGTCTCTCTCTGTCTCAAAAATAAATAAACGTTAAAAAAATTTATTAATAAAAATAGAACTTTACTCAGTGTTTTGGACAGTAAAGTAGCACGTAAATTATTTTTGTGTTTGGGAAAGACATGAAAATCTTCAGGTAGGAACTTCTAGATTAAGATAGGCAAATGAATCACTGTCCCCCAATTCCTAACATAATAATCAACAACTACAACAACAGGAATAATAAAAAAATAACCCACCATCAGCAACTACAGAGAAGGGCCATTAGCTTCAAACACTGGCCGCCAATAAAAGAAAGAGAAAAATTCTGAGCATAGCATAGAGCAATAGTTAGTAAGATTTAATAATAAAGAAAAAGAATTCTTTAGGCTTTCAGCCCCAAATAGAAAATTACCTACAATCGAGGGGGAAACTCTACAGTACAGGTGGGGGTGGAATGGAACTGAGAACTTAATGAACCAGATCCACAATACTATAGGTTGTTGTGCTGCACAATATGTTTGGTGCTTAGTCAACCACGGTTTTGTAGAGAATTTTTCCAACCAGGAAAATTGATTTGTGCAAATCATCCACAAAATTCTTGGCTCAGATCACTAGTGAAGATTGCTTTAAGGACAGCCTTTTGGGCCGATACTACATCTAAATGCTCTGAAAATTTCTCTGGAAAAACATTCCCTAGTAGTTACTCAGACATATTGTTTACTTTACTCAATCCTAGAGAAATTTTATCTTTGCAAGTTTGATAAGAAGTAATCTAGTCCCCTTACTTAGGCTAAAATGTATTTCCAGAAAAGCAAGTGGTGGCCAGCATGACACTTCTAACAATGGGGAGTTAAAGACTAGATTGCAATGTTTACATGATTTCAAACTTTATGAACATGAAATAATTGTGCAGTTAGTTTTCTCAATTTTGATAATGAGAATGAATTGTTATAAATGGAATTTAGTGAATTGAAAAGTAAAGTTTCATTGAAATACCAGAATTTTATAGACATTGCAGGAGTAGTATGTAAAAACTGCAAAGATTTTATCCATAATTAGTTCCTATGTTTGTGAACACATTTTTTTTTTTTTTTTGGCCACAATACTAATTAAAAAATGTAGTTCCTAGAATTCAAGTCTATATTTCATGCTGCGCATCACAACTCCAGCCTTATATTAACATCTTGCTGTAGGGGCGCCTGGGTGATTCAGTCGGTTGAGCATCTGACTCTTGATTTTGGCTCAGGATCATGTTCCCAGGGTCATGGGATCAAGCCCTGCACTGGGCTCTGTGCTGAGTGTGGAGCCTCCTTGGGATTCTCTCTCTCTCTCTCTCTCTCTCTCTCTCTCTCTCTCTCTCTCTCCCCCTCTCCCTGGCTCATGCACATGCAATCTCTCTCTCTAAAATAAAAAACAAAACAACAACAAAAAACACATCTTTCTGTGGAAGAAAAAGGTGTCAGGTGTCAGTTTCAAACCAGATGAGTAATCATAAAAGACCAGCATTGGTGATACATTACGAATCTGCAACAGCCTCAGGCCTGAAGTTAAGAGGTGGGAGTTCGTGAGAATCCAGAAAGTTTTAGGAGAGTGCAAGAGGAGCTGGGGCCCTTGTAAAGGAATACAGTTACTACTAAAGCCTAAATTTTATTCATTCTTACTCTCTTTGATATACTGCAGTGTCTTCCATTGGCTAACCCAACTGCCAGATAGAACAAGAACCCTGGTTGATGTTGTCCATGAGTCATTCTCTAGAGTCACAAATCAGCAAAATGGTGCAAAGTAGATATGGGAGGGCAAATGGAAACTAGCACATTTTATTTCAGTGAAAGTGCAGTTGATTATATTTCTGGCTGTGAATTTTTCTTATATCTCATCTCCTTCATATTTGGCAGGTCCCTGAAGTCTTCTAAGTTTGTAATTCCTAGAGGAAATAATTTCATAGATCTTGGGATTGGTTCTGATACTGCTTTCTTTGTTATATGATATGTTCAATTGAAGATTTTATAACTGTATATAATTGAGGTTTTGGCCTCCCAGATGGTGAGGTATACATCTTTTATAAGTGCAAAAGAACAATAAGGGTATAATGTCATGAAATAGAAGTGATCTATTATGTGGGAGGACAGCTCTTTGATTTATATTACTCTTTTTGTTACTTGTGTATCCTCTATTCTTTGCTATAACATTATTCATGTGTTTACCTCTTTAATATATAGGCCATTTAGCTGTGGTAAGCTTGATAACACATGCAAATGAATAAGTGATAAATATCAAAGGAATAGTATCAGTGTTTAAAAACTTGAAACAGTTCCATGATACTGGGAACTCTTCATTGTTGAAGTCTGTTGTAGCTACCCTTTAAATCTTTGATAATGTCAGTATTGGTCAGTTAATGCTTAAGTCTAAAGAGAATAAATAAGTATTTAAAGTATGTAGTAACAAAAAAGGATGATGATTTTATAACTTAACATTCTCATAATTATTCTTTTTGAGAGTTAATAGTCCAACCTGCTCATGTTTGGACTTTAGTCTTAGTTTCTATTTATAGATGTTTTAGATCTGTTTCCACAGATATACTCCTACCTTCATTAAACATAATAATAATATAACATCAGACCTTGGCTATAAGCAACGTTCAAGGTGATATCCTCTGTACAAGATACATGCCACACACTTCCTTCAGCTACGTTTTTCTGAAATTGTAAATCATGCACAACTGTCGCCCAGTCAGCATAAATCATTGAAGATAAAATTTTATTTATTCTAATTACTAAATCAGGAAAGTATATCAACATATTCAGTAAAAGTTTTCCAAAAATGTAAAAAAAAAACCTCTTCTGATTGACTGCTAGCTAATAAAAAATAATGTAGCCATTCAATCATTTCACAGCATTCTTGTCTATGAGTTCCATGTGTTATTCTAGATTAGTTTTCTTTTTCAAGTTTTTGTACTTGCACACTTGCATCTTTGTTACTAAGTTAGCCTTTTTTGTTCTTGGAGAATGGGAAGTTTGACAAACTTAGTGTGCTGTGGGCTGTAAACTATAGTATTAAATTGTTACAATTATGTGAGATCTATATGTTGTATTTTTACTTTCATGTATATGTCTATGAATATGTGGTATGTCCATGTGAAATTTATAGATGTACACTGTGTTGCTTAAAAACTCCAAAGGTGGCAATTTAAAGACTATTTCATTGCAAATAATGGCTTACTGCCTAAAACTGAACAGAGTCCTTCGCAAGGTAAATTAACCAGGGAAATATGCCAATTTTGACTTCATTTCCATCCTGTTGAATGACTGCATTCATTCTCTTTAGATTTAAAGCTCTTCAATCTACTGTTCCTCAACACTCTTTATAGAATTCCAGCTTGCTTTTCACCTTTTAACAGTTTAACATAGATGGCTGGATCAAGTCCATTGTTCCAATTGTATGTAGCTTAAAAAGCTCTGCAGTATTTTACTCTTTCCATTGTATCTGGCTTCCCTGAGTGCTCTGCTCACTGCATTTTACTCCTACTCTCCCTGTTTTCTAAACCCATTTATGCCTATTCTTTCTCAAGACACTTGTTCGTCTGGGAGCTCAAATTGACTTCTCCGCATTCTATTTCCTTAACTAAAAATGCACCATTAAGGTTGATTGAACTCTTTTAAAGCACTTCATAAAAAAAAAAAAAAAAGAAAGAAAGACCATAAGAAAGTAGGCTACCAGTGTTTGTAAATACCTGTTCTCAGCCAAATTGATGGGAAGAAATAAGAAATAATTGGAAACTTAAAAATGTTATTGATATATTTTTTTATAGATTAGTCTCTTTTGGTTGTTCTTCGAGAAACATACTGGCAGAACATTTTGAGGAAAGGGGGCATTATGTTATAATTAAAGATGGATCAAATAGTACAGCCAAACTGTTAAAATCATCTGAAACATTTTCTAGAAAAAATGTTTTAAAATAAGCAAGTTGTAAAACATGCAGATCCCTGATTAAAATCTACAGTTTTTAAACCATATGATCTTATTTTTTTTTCTATTTAAAATATAGATACTGTTACTTAAAAATAGATGTAACCATAAATGGTTTACAAAAATAGGAAGATCATCACTAACCTTTTTTTCTCTTTGTAATGTTTAAAAATGTAACTCTACTGGTATGAAATATATTTAAACATTTGTAAGTTAATTAACAGAATTTTATTCAGAGCCTATGGGAACACTCTTATTTTAAATGATACAATATAAGGAAACATCTATTCTAATTTTAAACTTAGCATTTCAGAATCACATGTATTTTATATGGAAAATGATGATATTGATGAGTTGGCCTTTGATTTACTTAAGAGACCATATAGTTAAGGTATGGTCTAATACATAAAACATAAGTGATA